CGTATCATCTATTGGGCTTAATTATTAGGATGTACATATTAAGTAAGCATTCAAAATTTCAAAATTAGAAAACAGACGATTAAGGAGCGTCTACTTGTCTGCGGTTTTTTTTTCAAATGAATTATTTTCGTGAGCTCTCTGTTAACTGTCATTAATCGAATAAACAAACGTTTCAACGGACAAAAAAAGTATTTTTTGTCTTCAGTGGTATGCAATGGAATATCAATCAACTCACCAAAACTGAATCAAACCTATGTTTTGTTTATTTGTTTGTGTGTTGTATAACGCCGCTATATGACGGTGGTCTGTAAATAATCGAGTCTGGACCACACAATCCAGTGATTAACATCATGAGCATCGATCCACGCAATTACGGATACGATGACATGCCTCAAACAAGTCAGCGAGTCTGACCACCTGATCCCGTTAGTCGAGCATAGTCGCCTTTTACGGCTACCATGGGTTGCTGAAGACCTATTCTACCCCGGATCGTCAAAATATGTAATTTCGGGTTGGTGTCGAATGTTACACATGTGTTAGTATTTGTACTCACGTATGCTAAGTAATCAGCAGAAAGATAGACTGTTTGTAACAACAAATATATGTATCAACAGTTTAAAAACCCTGGCCAAGTTAAAAAAAATGTCAGTATAAAAAAAATAATCTTAATCAGATTCTAATCGCTTGAGTAAATCCGAACATTAACAAGTCTTATGACAGATGTTGTATCAAACATGAGTCAAGTGTGTGACTGTTTTGCATGTTATCATTGCAGTGGTTAGTCTGGTAGGGAAATACAAGTCTGAAGTATTTAAAACGGTTGTGTGCTGTGAATATCGCTATAGTGTAGATACGGCTTACAATGGCCTCTTGACACAGATGTGTGAGAAGATAAGTGTCTACCGCGACTGTATGATCAAGTGGGTGTTTTTTGTTGTTATCTCTTCGTGTCTGACAGGTAGACCGAGAATCAGGTGTCAAAATCAAGAACACAGCGTGAGTTATCTTGACCCAATATTGACCCAAGCACTGCCGAAGTCAATCAAGAAAAGGCAAACGTAAATTGATCATATTCGGGTTTGATAATCGAAAGCGTGGAAGCTCTTCAAGATAGAATTGTATTGTGCACTTTTGCACACATTTATTAGGCAGATGGTCCTCTTGTGAAGCATGTCAAGACTCATGCTGAAAACAAGGCATTTCATAGTTTTCTTATTCGGGCCAAATATGTGGGACATAATCGCAATTTCAATGTTGATTTTGTTGAAGTTTCTTCCCTGATGGAAGAAATGAATATCAACCAGGCGAAGTGCCATATCGGCACAGACAATCTTTCAAGGAGAGGCTGTCTGAACGACCACTGCCTCGAGTTTATGTGCTATCGACATAAATTTGAATTCACTAGTCGCATGTTAAGTTTGTGTGATGCGTTTTGGCGACATGTCCGACGTGATTTGAAAAGCACTTCAAAAGAGCGCGGAAAATTAATATCATAATAACTTTTTTAAATCACTGGATAAATAATATATTATGCTATCATCTAATTTTTAAAATATAGGTATTATTTGTTTTATAAGCAGAATATAAAAAACTTTAAACGGTAGAACATGCTGGCTGGTTTAAAGAGAGGGGCGGCGGGAGGGGAGGAAATGCTTACCCTTTTCGCGAATACCTGGTGTCATCACTGGTTTTCAGTGATCCATTCATATAATTGTCACCGCTATTTTGCCTTTTTTCGCCCAATGGAATCTGTTTCGGCAGATAATCGGGACTGAGTTTTCTTAGCGTTGACGTTATATATACTCTTGAGGGAAACTCGGAAGTCGCTTAAAATTTCCAAAATGGTAAGAGATATTAGCTTCTAGTAATAGTTGTAGTGACTGAGTGAGTATGGTTTAACGCCGCTTTTCGCAATATTCCAGCAATATCACGGCGGGGGACACCAAAAACGGGCTTCACACATTGTACCCACATTAGGAATTGAACCCAGGTCTTCCGCATGACGAGCGAATGCTTAAACCACTAGGCTACCCGACAGCCCCAGTAATGGTTGTGTGATAATCGTGAAGGAACTGGGAACAAATTACATCCGCTATGAAGGAAAACAGTAGCTTTTATGACCGTCAACGATCTTGAAGGACTATAGGACTAAGATGGGAAATTTCAAAGTTTTTGATTTTGGATCAATACTGCGAAATATAATACCGCCACAATTTGTCAAACATTTTTTCACTGGACGAAGCATACTGCGGGAGTCTGTCCCACTGCTCTTGCACGGCCTGGCCAAGGTCAGCCAACGTAGTCGGCGACCTATGACGTTGACGCACGCGTCTCACTATCATGTCCCAGACGTTTTCAATGGGGAAACGGTCAGGGCTCATTGCTGGCCATGGCATTCTATGGATGTTGTGCTGGTGGTGGAGAACATTGGCGATTCGGGCACGGTGTGCACAAAGACAAAACGTCGACCCGCAGAGGGTGTCAACATGTTGTCCCGATAGTACTGTCCAGTGACCCTTCCTTGCACAATATGGTGTGGGGTTCGCGCAGTCATGGTGATGTCCCCCACATCGGTACCGTAATCGATCCACCGCCACATCTGTCATGAGGTCTCAGGTTGACATTGGCTTGACGTTCATTTTGACGTCGCAAGGCACGACCTAGCAAGGACGTGCAACGTGAATTGGGACATCTGAAAACATGACATGTGGCAAGCGACGATTACTCCAGTTTCGACGTTGTGTACACCATTGGCTATTGGCAATATGATGATTTGTAAGAGGCGGCACAACACGTGACCGTGGAGCATGGAGATGACCTGCATGTAGACGATGTCTAATCGTCAGATACACATGATATGTTTGTTTTCGTTGTTACCATGTCCAAGTAGTTAGCAACATCTTCCTAAGTAACCGTAGCAATATTTTGAATGAGATAATTGGTGATACTTACATTGACCATTTAATGGAAAGCACAATCGGTGCGATAAACCGATCCGATCATCTTGGTATCACGGTCCAATAAATATGCAAATGTTTGTAAGTTGTGTAACGCCGCACTCAGCAATATTCCAGCTATGTGATGATGGCCTGTAAATAATGATGCCAATGATTGATATCACGAACAACGATTGACGTCGTGGACCGTTGACACGTTATCAGCCAAATCAAAAAACCTTACCACCTGATTCTCTGAGGTACTTCGCACAATTAGCACTGGTTGCTGCGGAGCAATTCTAATCCGATAATCGAGATTTGCATATGAAGTCACCCAGCACTCCATTTCGAACGTTTCATAATGAAACAATTTGATATACATACTATGCCCGCGTAATACAATTTTATTGCTAATATGCGATACATACGATACGAAAACACTTTCGACTAATGTTTTAATAAATTATAACCATATTACTGTAACTATACATAAACAATTTTTTTGAATAAATAAACTACAGAACACTGTATTTTGAATGAAGTGAACCGTTTATAGTTTAGTTATGATGCTCAATCGGCAAATAGTACATGAACATGTTTTACAGAAAAGGCGTTTAACCATTAGAGTGTAGCAAACGTGACTTCAAAGTAACTGAAATAAAATTTCACACTTTCATGATGTCCCCCATATCCAAACTACAGTATACGAACCACAACATAATGACCTGTACACATGTTTAGAATAATTCAACAACAATATTATGACACTCATTATCCTACCATTTGAAACATATTTAACACAGATCTAGGATCGTGTCATTTCATCTGGACAGTTTCAGGCTGCTTAAATCAGAGGCATGCAATTTTGTGATTTGATACTCTCTGATGAACCAATCAGGTATTATCTTGTTGGGAAGAGTCAGGTAATCTGTACATTATCAATGAGTGTTAAGGTTCTTGAGTATGTTTCCCCAGAGGCATTAACGTTTATACTTTACTGAAACAACTAAGTTCAGCAATAACCCTTAACACATTTTTGATCCCTTCAAATACATGAAAACTCGAAAAGAGTGTCCGTTACTTCTGACACATACTAAACATTAAACATTCGCTCTCTGTATACGTATTCTTAACGTGTATCTAGGACGAAGGTAACCCTTATGGCGTAGCATGAAACAAATACATGTGACAAGAAGCCAAGAACTCAATTCGCCTCCACCATAGACTTTATGTCATCCGTTTGCACAAATGGTCTCAATAAACCATACCAAGTATTAATTGGATTATCCGGTACCGCCCTTCTTGTTTCAAAGAGTAAAATACTCGAAAGTACAACACATGGGGCAACTGTATTCTTCTTAAGAAAATTACCTTTTTCTAAGAAGACAACTGTAGATGTTGCTAATATCACATAACATCCGAACACAGAAGAAAACAATATTTCTTGGGTCACCGCTTCGGTCAAACCACACATATCTTTCTGTATCACATGTTTTATTAATGGACACCCAGCATGGCCGGCAAACATTTTGTAGTGTGAAATATCTAACCACAAATTCTTTTCCCCACAATTTGATCTGGAACAAAATATTTTTTAAACGAATTCAAAGACCCCCAAGAGTACAAAATTGTAGGTCCCTGATAAGACAAAGAAACACAAGCTTTTAGTTAATCTGTCAGGTTTCCATAAGGTTGACTAAAACAGTTATTCTTACGTCTCAACTTTGTACGAAGAACAGTGACAAAGAACACATTTACTCACGTCCACATGTTCTACGTGGCCACTGTCTAGTTTATAAGGTCGCTTCATCTGGAACCTTATCACAACATCATAGGTAAACAGCTTCTCAAAATAGAAACCAGAGGCTTCAGCATGCATCTTCCCTCGCCCCCGTAGGATATTGAACGACATATTTGCGAAAACATGTGGTAGATACACTCAAGATTATCACCAACAGTTTCATTATAAGTAGGCGGTCATAGTACTGTCCCCTTAACGCCTCGGCGTGAGAGTGTCCGCCTGCAATCGTAGGCTGTGTAGTACTGAGGGCGGACAGATAAGATAGAAGGTGTTCTATTTAAGTCAAGCACCAATATTGGACGCCAGTTCCAGGCACAGCGCTAAGCCAGCTGCGACAACAAGAAAGCAGATAACAGCAGAGACAATCAGGGAACACAGGCCAAGTCCTTCAACAAGCAAGTATGTTGTTTAAGGATTGACTGGGTATTTTTTTCGGTTCATTGAGGTATGAATCGAAAAACCGATGTGCAAACTGTATGAATCCGCGTAGCGGATACTTACAAAAGTTTGCACATGGGTTTTTCCGATTCATACCTCAATGAACCGAAAAAAATATACAGTCAATGCTAATAATTAAATTCGACAACGTAAAACATGTTTTATCTACAATAGTTTTACCAAAAACAGTTGCATATATCAAAACAGACAAAAATGACGACATTGATAAACATTCCAGGTGTAGGAATACATACAGTGGCGTGACATGAATCAGGTGATCGTTTAAATTATGCACATAACTTGACACGCCTACACAGTCAGTAGCCAATCAACGGAGAGTTGGATTAAAACAATGTTCATTGGACCTGTCATTTAAGGCAAGAGGCGAAAAGAACTGCAACCGTCAGACTGTAACGAACCGGAAGAAATATGTCCGAGAGAAGGCGGCTGTTTCAAATAACATGGCCATTTACTGCGTGATTCAAACATTACTTCCCTGATAACGGTAAAACACAGTTGGAGAAATGCTAGTTAGAAATGAAACCCGAAGACATGAAAGTTGAACCGAAGCGAGCGGGAAAAAAACAGGCGAGCGAGCCTGCCCGTTTGCTGTTTCATTCATTCTCGGCCTTCGGTTTCAAAGGGTAGTTTGGACAATGAATATGTATGAAAGTCGCTTAATGTCCTGTGCATGACGATACACGTGAGCAGAAAGGGAATTCCCTCGACTTATATTGGGATTCCACATATTGGGATTCCCCGACATTCCGCAGTAATAAAAGTAGTGCACCGCGGTGGGCGTGGCTTAATTCTTTTTACATTCATTGGGAAATGAATGCAATAACACGTGACCATCAGCTAATCAGAATGCAGGAATTTCCATGAACACAACGAACATTTAATTATAAATGACTGAGGCATATTTTATTGACAAAGAGTCACGTTGTGAAATGCATATGGTCTTAAGAATGTATGTTAGCATAGTTCAACATGAAGCCAATGAACTCGGAAAATGCTGAAACACAAAGACTATCAGCACCGTGCTAACAGTGCCTGAATCTTTGACACATCAACTTGGATAATGCCTTGTATCATTTTACACGTTAATGTAAGTTTGTAGTTTGTGAAGTCGGACACAGCACATGTAAACTATATCCAATTTGCGTACTCCGTTACTTTTTAGAACTTATGTGGAATAATTGTGTTTATTGCCATGGTCAGCTACTCTTAGTGAAATCCATCGTTTGGTTTTAACTTGTTTCTGTTATACTATTATACCATGTCGCATTCAGTAAACAATGACCGCAATGTTTCACTTGTTACAGAGAAGGGTCCACTATCTGGAACTCAACCATGTGGAAACTACTGCTACTCACACTAATCAGTGTTGTGAACGCTAAAAAGTAAGTTCTTTGGTACAATTTACTTTATAGCAATGAGTTGTCTCGTAGCAGATTTTGCACAGCACAATTGGGGAAATTCTTCTAGGGTAACCATATAATACTAGTATCTAAGATCCTTTTTTGACAATTCTGACAATGATATACCAAACAAAACGGGTAATCAAATGCTCAACGTTTATCAGCTCGAGACGAATAATAATAGCTTGAAGTGCAAATACTAGAACTAAGGCAATATAAACTATCTTGTTAAATCTGTCATGTACTGTAGAAATGATGTATTTATTTCATTATGGAAAGTGTTTCATAACCTTTGCTTAACCAGAATATACAACAGCGTTTTTTGTCGGGGTTAAGTTTCATATTGCTGAATCTGTTAGCCCAGATTCACCTTGACTATTTCTTTTAAAACATCGTCAAAATATTACTTAAGCTGTAATATGTAGAGTACGGAATATGTAAAGTGGTACTTCATTCCATTGAAATGTGTTTTTCATTTGTTATCAATCTCTTTTGCAGCACCTTTCTTATCCTTGCCCCTAAGACCATCAGCCCCTCTACAACCCTGCGTCTGGGGGTCAACTCCCTAAACGCCAGTCAGGACCTGACTGTAACAGCACGTGTACAGACACAGGAGTGGAGCAACTACCCCTATGAGCACTATGAACGTATCTACGTCGACCATGCCAACACCTCGGACACCGTTATTGGAGGTAGGCTATGGGCAATATAGCATCAACGCATATTTTATAAGTAGTTCTAACACAAATGAACTATATTAGGTTAGAACATGGATTTAGTTTTGAGATCTTGGGAGCAGCTCTGTGGAGAAAGGCGATTGTTTATGAAACTTTAATTGGCATGTGTAACATACCTGGTCTCAGTTGATAAATTGAAATGTAATAATTCTTGCAAATTTTTTCTTCAGGAGACGCAGGCGTCGTGGAATTGACGGTATGTTGTAATAGTGTTTTGTTATCACGGGTACAATGAAAAACGAAAATTAATTTCCATAAGCATAACAGATATTTCCTAAAAGAAGAGTTTATTGTATGATTCCGACAATATAGGTATGTGTTTATGAATCATCAGGGTTAGAACATGCAATGCCTCAGTGAAGCTTTCAAAAAAGTTTTATGGTAGACGTATGGATGACATTTACTAATTTGACGCACCAATGACCAAAATGATGTCCGATGCAACTTGTTCTATACTTTCCCGTGTTTATCAGGTGATATTACTTGCCGTTGCATTTGTTTGTGACGAGTACCATCGTTTCTGCAGGATACGCTTTCCTTTTAGCGAAACCCTGGTGTCATCACTTTTTTATTTTGATTCATAAACACGTGCTTGTGTTATAAGTAGAGTATTATATGAATGTTTTACACAGCTTGTCATACAGTTTTGTGGGTAGATGTTTATCATTCTAAATAAGAAACTGATGAGGCGGTGTCATAATCTCTGTTATTTCTAGTTCAGGTGAGTAGATCAGAGGAAAGGAATTGGTTATTTGATCATTATTGAATCCTACCAGAGTGGAACACAACCTGACACCTTGAAAAGAAAAACAAGATTAATATCTTCAATTTTTTTAAAGAAATACATAAAAAACAAACAAATCTCTAGTATTCCGTGACACTAAATCTCTTCCAAATTCAAATACTGAAGTCACCACAAAAAGTCTGTTTCCATTCTTTCAGGAAAACATTTCTAATATACTACCGTCCACGCAGCAACACTTCCTATCCATTGTATTTTATGCATTGTTAACAAATTTTCGACTTGATATCCATGCCGTGTATGTATCCCACAGATCCCCCAGGACCTGAAGTCAGACAACTACATCCTAAAGGTCCAGGTAGAGACGAGCTCTGGAGAGGAACACATCAACATGTACAACCTGCAGTACTACAGCAAATATCTGTCAACATTCATCCAGACAGACAAGGCCATATACAAACCTGGTTCTCTGGGTGAGTTTGAAATATGCCATGTGCGTTCTCATTTCTGACCTTCAAAATGTTTAATTTTTTAAAGGATTAATTGACAATTGTTGAAGACACTTTACTAGATAGAAAATGAACTCTTCAGATACTACCATTGATACAACAAATTAAACCTATTTGTTCTATCTTGCAGTAAACTTCCGTGCATTTGCCGTGTACTCTGACCTTCTTACCTATACTGGAAACATGACAATCGAGATGTTTGTAAGTTTGTTTTACCCTGCCTCAAAGAGACACAGATATTTAGTCTATATTTTCGTAATCATATTTTTATATCTCCCGAGAAGGGCCCTATGAATCAGATTAGTCTTCTTGAAACTCTATCATTATAATGGAGAGTATTACCTTGGATACAAGGGTGATTGACAAAGGAATGTAAATGGGTTATCGCTGATACTCTTGAATCAATGAAAAGAAGTTCAAAGAGGAAATGTACTTGGTCACCAGAACATCATATATTACATTCACGTGCACGACTTCACCACAGGACCCCAGCAACAACAAGCTGATGCTGAAGAAGGATGTTATTGACCCGACTGGTGTCATCTCTATGTCCTTCAAACTCAGTGCAATGCCCATTCTCGGACATTGGAAGATCAGGGTCACCATACCAAATGTAAGGAACATGCAAAAACTTTCACACAATATGATTTCTCTTTTCAAGTTAAATATGGCCATTGCCTCTTATGTCAATGGATCCCTTGATCAAATCTCATTATATTCTATTTCTTGTTATTAGGATTAATTGAGACAACACATCTATGATATAATACCTGAACATATTAATTTTATATAATACGTCAACACCAGAGAATATTCCTGTATTTTACCATAGCTAACCATATCACTATGGGAAAATGTTCAAAACGTACTATACTTTCACAGGGACCAACAGAAGAAAAAACGTTTGAGGTGTCAAACTACAGTAAGTAAGCCCGATAATACTGAATCTACATGTTTAATAATATATATATTTTAGTACTTTGAGAATACATTAACTGCTTTTAATAAAATTATACATTATAGAAATGAATTTGTGGTAAATTCTATCGGTGATGAATGAAGTGCATAGTCTCCACTTTTATTCGTAACCAGAACTGCCAAGATTCGAGGTAACTGTCGATGTTCCCAGTTTTGCCTTGGTAACAGATCGAGACATCAAGGGCAAAGTCAGTGCCAAGTAAGTGAATCGTAAAGTGTTTATTTCTTTTTATAAATGACATAAAACTGACTTCAGATGCCACATCTAGATTTGCATCTCCATTAAAACTAAAATATTCATGGTTTATTAAAATTTATCTTAGATATGCAAAGCTATATTCGTCATATCAATAATTTACTCATTCTTTATTCACTACATTGTGTCCATTTTAGAGAATATAGTCATATGTTCTTTCAAGGTATACGTTCGGCGAGGGAGTGAAAGGTGTTGCAGAAATTCATGCTAAAATTGTTGGATCTTATTCTGGATCTTGTTCATCTGAGCAACCAACCATCCTCATGTCCTTCCCGGTATGTACATTCATGTCTTACACAACAACTACTTTAATATTACCTGTATGAACTTCATATTTTTTCTGACACATACATATCGTCTGAAGTACAATACAGTGTTTTTTTTATGGAAAGATATAAAGTTTCATTGAATGTATTATCCTTTTCTTAAATCTTCAGAACACCTGCTGATTTAAACTCTAAACTAAAATTTAATCTAATAACCCTCACATGCATCAATATCGCTATCTTTTGTGAGCATCGTCATGTCAAGAGACAGTGTATTTATTTAGTGTCAGTGTATTTATTGTATACAGCTACAAAAACTCACTGTTACCTTACCCGTTAAGTATAATAAAATCTAAAATTTTATAGGAAAAAGCCGAAATAGAACTTCCTATTTATCTCTCGGGTTTATATTCCGCACAGCTTGATGGGGAAAGTAAGTTCACGATCCCAATGGTGGAGGTTCAGCACCTCAACTCCTACCTCAATGGTAAGCAGCTGGAGATCCAGGCCTTCGTGACGGAGACTCTGACGGGCAAGAAACTAAACGGTTCATCCATCGTCACCTTCTACACCAATGCCATCAAGATGACCTACCTTGACTACAGTGCGCGTGATTTCAAGCCTGGCCTCATCTACAGCGGCACGGTAAGAGCGTCGTGTGAATCTGTACGAATATATAACAGTTTGTGTGTTGGTTTATGAACATCTCCAGGAAACTAAGAACAGATGGTGTAAAGTATATGCCTGGTGCTGAACTTGGATAAACATTACTTTTTGTGCATGGAATAAGCATCTTTGTGCTGAACAAGTGCAGTACATATTGTGTCTATTTTCATAATATCTGCCTCCAATAACATCCGAAATTAAGTATATGTATTTTCTATTTGACAGTTACTGTATTTAAGGTATATACTCTTAGTGTTGTATTGAAGAACAAAAAGTTCACGTAAAGAACAAAACCGCAATGCCATTCACAAAATAATCCGCTGAACCTTTGGTTTAAATTTCAGATGAAAATCTCCCTGCAAGACGATTTGCCACTGCCTACACCCAGGAAGAATGTGACCATCTACCCATGTGTAACGTACCGTATCAGAGTCCCAAACCAGGACAAGTATCATAGCTGCGACTCGAACTTCCAGGGAACCTATGGTATTACCGAACAGACATTCCCAGTTCCAGCCGATGGGCTTGTGGACGTCAAACTTATGATACCAGAGGATGCTGTCTCCGTCACTATCACGGTGAGGGATGCTAGTGATATGTTAGAATTAATAACGTTTCTAAAGAAAAGCAATTTGGTTCTTAACAAAAGAGGTGATACTCAAACTACTCATTCTCCCTAAAAGCACAATTTCCTGGGAGGGCGGGGAATCAATATCAGGCAAGGGAGGTTTGTGACATTGGCCGACCATTCTGGAAGGGGGAGAAGAGATGGGATTGTGTATGGAGACTTCACAGCTGCATCTGCAACACCAGATATTTTTTACAAAAAGCAGTTTGCAACAATGTGTATTTTATGGCTGACAATTTCTTTTTTGTTGAACAGTCAGAAGTACAATTATTGCTTTCAAGCTTTTTCTGTGACAAATTATTTTTTTCGATGGAATCTCAGGCGCCCCAGAGAATATCAAATGGTCGTTCCCGTACAGCTACCTGTTAGCGATGTTACTTACACACTCATGCAAAAGGCCAAATCATATATCAACATTAAGGATCTGTTGTCGTTCGTTCTTTGGGTGTATGGCACAGAATAAATATTTTAACTTTAATATCACAATGGATATTCCCGAAATATATGAAACGTTATATAATGCAATGTTAAACGACGGAGCTGATTAATTCCAGGTTACACATTATTACATGTAAAGAAAATAAGCATTTGGGTTTGATGCTAACACTTTTTCTATTAGTTTTATCATTTTTTTTATTTATTTGTAACGCTTATGATTAACTTCGTCTTCAGTATTTACCACAGAAGTATTTTGTACATCCTACTCTTGCTAAATTCAATATGCTTATGGTGGTAAACAATGAAACTGTTATTAGAAATGTTGCAACTTTTATGTACCATGCTATGAATGTTAGACTCCAAACACTAAGTCTATAAATGTTAATGATGGACCAAATATTGTACCATGGGCCGCTGGCCTACACATGTACATGAATAAAGAATTGAACATTATTTGTTTTGCAGGCCTTCTATGGAGAAACATCGATTTCATGGACGATAAAGAAAGCCTACTCTCCGTCAGATTCATTCCTACAGCTTTACCTCCACGACACCAATGTCACAGTAAATAAAATTATTTCGTTATTATTTACTTTGGAAGACCTACGTACTTCTTCGCGTTATCCGAGATTTGATACTACCTAAAGTGCTGAATAAGAAGAAATATGCAGACACCAAGATCTTGCTCCGAGACAACCGTGCGTCCGACACATCAAAGTTCGACACACGGTGTCTGCCTGTATTTTTAATTATCTGTGTATATTTGAAATATAATAACACCTAATTAATGTCGATTATATCGTATCAAATAAGAATTCATACTGTTTTTAATTCCAATTTGAGTTTACCCATGTCTGTTGTATTTGCAGGCCGGAGAAAATGCCAATATCTTTATCAATTCCACCCAGCCGCTCGATACAGTCTGGTATGAGGTAAATAGATCCAATCCCCTAAGTGACTCACAAATAGTGTATGTGAGGAGTAATACAAATTTGATGCCAGGCTATGATGTTAGTCTCATTAGTATTATTTTAAAATATGCCATTATATATATGGTAATCGAGACTGACACCTATGATGGATATATGAATTGACATTAGGATATGAGGTCAGTAATATCAACATCAAGTCTTACTTTCTTAATGATTGAATTACCAACTCTGATATGCATTATGCTATTGTCAATGTAGAACATTTGAAAGGGTTCTTTTGATTGACTGACAGTTAGTATTCAGTGAGGTCATCCCCTTGTTATAAATGGTATCAATCTGCTTTGTAAAGGTTATCTCCCGTGGGTCCTTTGTTGCTGCCGGACATCTAGACGGTGGTATGAAGAGGAGCCTCAACTTCACTCTTCCTGTCACACCCAAGATGGCGCCTCATGCTCGCGTTCTTGTCTACTCGATCCTTGATGATGGCGAGGTTATTGCAGACAGCACAAATTTTGAAGTGAAAGGTCTTTTTACCAACAAGGTAATGGTACCAACTCAACGCTGATTGCATTAGTCATACAAGAATATTACGAGCAACAGTGAAGTATGGACTATCTGTTCCGAGTAAGTTACATCTGCAAGTTCCGAGCCTTGAGTGACAGATAACTCGTAATATGGAGCTGATAGTAGGGTATTCTTTATATTACCCAGAGTTTTGTTGTGTGAGAAGGCGTAGAAAGATGCGACTTTCTTGATCTTGAATGAAAACATCAGCTCAGTTACTCTATTGTGGAACGACGTCATATGAAATCGTTTTTAGCATCATGTACAATAGATAATATTATCTTCAAATATTTGCGACAATCCGTAAAAATAATGTTACGTTGCTATAGGCCCCTTCACGAATAATGAAAACAATTGGAACAAAGCTGTAATTCTCAGAAAGAAATAATGAAACTAAGTTTACGTCTTGTTCAATACACACATAACATGCACCATTACGAAGACGTAATCTTGCATTTTCGCTAATAGTAGCAGTGGTTATTGAATCATGCAAACAGCATAGATATCTCGCTGCTTTTATGAAATAGTATTTATATTGTTATGAAGCATATATCACGGATTTCATTGCATTTCCAGGTGGCACTTGAATTCAGCAAGAACGAATCTCAGCCCCATGAAAACATTGATGTCAAGGTTTCAGCTGACCCACAATCATTGGTTAGCTTGCTCGTTGTTGACCAATCTGTGACTCTCCTGGCCAGTGGAAATGACATCACAAGTGATATGGTTTGTATAAGAAAACTGAAACTTTCACAACTGTCATAAACCAAACTTCACCATAACATCATATCTTGGTTACATTTAAGGAAACTTAGTATCCATTTCATTCTTTAATTGATTGTAAGATTTTATAAACGATCTTATAAAATAATATTGTGTGTGTGTTTAGGTGGAGACTGAACTGAAGTACTATGACAACCGCGGAGTAAGCAACAACTATGAGGGGGAGACAGACGCCAGTCAGGTGTTCAAGGTAGATTTTCACTGTATCAAACATGTGTTATGTACAAGGATAAGTTTTATAAGAAATGATTTGTTCCAGTAACTGCTGGAACTGCAGATGTAACAATAAGTAGTTGTTGGAGTATATACACTGTATATTTACTATGGTTACAGGATGCCAGTGTCGAAATCTACACTGATGCAACCGTCCCAAACAATCCTAGTGGCATTGACTATGGCCATGGGTCAGGTATGGATAATATCAAAACGAAAAGTTCGGTTACATTAACTTACAATATATTTACATTCCAATATGTAACAGGAAGCTGTAAATGCTACATGTGCAATAAAACACTTAGTAAATGTCTTGAAATAGAAGTACCAAATTGGTAGTTGAGGCTGATGTTATTCTTTCTGGGATGATCTACACATCGAGGAAACTCTTGGCATCGTTTGCGTACAGCTGTATTTCGTGCACAAGCATGAATCATCATTCAATAACAAGGATTTGCCCCCTAACAATCAATCTACAGTTCACATACTGTACGCGATATAATGTTTTTAGATCCGGTGTCCACCCTCTAACACAGCAATGTGAAAACCATCAGATGCGTCCATAACATTAATGCCACAATTCTCATAGTGGAATCTTTCTATGATTAGTGTCCACTCCTGGCTACCATGCTATTGGCTTCACACCTTTGCCTGGAGCAACACCTTACGCTGGACCAACACCTTATCCGATTGGCGGCATAGCTCACTTTGCGCCAACAGCTCAGCCAGCGGTTGCTTTTCCTAATAAAAACCCTACCGCTCAGCCACTGAAGGAGGTTGGGCGAGTCAGGAGCTTCTTTCCCGAGACATGGTTATGGACCAACACTACCATTGGGTGAGATAAATTTCGAAATATTAACGTCTTATTCTTCGCTACACGCAAAACATACACCATAACGAGGGAAATATTTTAAGTGTCTGTGAAGAACAAAATATGAATTAGAAGGCACTATATGAATGTATTTCATTTGTCAATCCATTGTATACACTTCAATCCTTTGTATTTTATCGCCGCTGCTTCATTGAATTGATGTTAGTTGATCCTTAAAGTCAGGCCTTCAGTTCCAATGCCACAACAATGTAGTTCAAGAATTCCTTCCTTCTTGACATTACAATATCTTTCCCTCAGTTCCAATGGCATTGCAAGCATATCTGCAACTGTTCCTGACACCATAACGTCATGGTTGGCAACAGCATTCGCAGTTAACCCAGTGTCCGGGCTAGGAGTTACAGGATCAGCTTCTAAGGTAGATGAAGCAACAGTTAAAAGCTCCGAACTAATTTTAACATATTGTACTTCCTTTGTTTCAATTACATTTCAAAGTAACTAATATTATAGTTGGGAAAACACTTTCTTAGTAAAGTACAGATTCTCGTATTTTTTTTGGTTGAAGCCTTGGTGGGTGAGCGGGTTAGATCGCTGACTTTAGGTGCCTCACTGTAAGAGTGTGTGTTCGAATCCCGGACGGGACTCAACCCAAAAAATACGAGAATCTGTATTTTACTAAGAAAGTGTTATCCTAAACACAACATTAGTTACATTTGACCACTTTCTAAATGACATTGTGTATTCATACATTTCATAGATTTTATAGATTCGCACAAATACATAGAAATTATTACCTGTTCCACTAACATTATTTGTCCTACTTCGTTTATTTAGAGATAATAAGGACTAATTTAATGTTTTCTGGGAGGGAGCAAAAGCTAAAGCATCTTTGAATGGAAGTAGTAGTTATTTTCACATATATTTCAGATGAAGGTTTTCCGTCCATTTTTTGTGAGTGTTGATGTCCCAATGTCTGTCATCCGGGGTGAACAAGTTGTGGTTCAGGCCAGCGTCTTCAACTATCTGCAGACTGATCTCGATGTAAGTCTTATAATTTGGAATGTATAGAAAAGTAAATTCTTGGTCACCACTGTTTCGAAAATAATAACAATTTTTTTACAAAGATCATTACAACACCCTTTCAATAATCCTAAATAGTCTCTGATGAAAGCTAAGTGCATTGTACGAGTCCGACTATATCACAAGCATTTGTTTTTATTTCACTATCATATAATGATGATACCAGGTGTTTGCAAAAGGGTGAGCGTATTCTGCCCCATCGATGGCACTCATCACAAACACATGCAAAGGCAATTTTCGCCTGAAATAACAAGGGAACAAATGTTACAAGACAAAATCTGTTACGACTACCATAGAAGGTTTTGATGATGATGATGATGATGATGATGATGATGATGATGGGGATTTAACGAGCGCTTCCGGTGTTGCCGATTTCGCACTCGGTTTTGATGTTTTGATAAGACCTTGAATGTTGTAATCTTGATCAAACTTTTGAGCAAGAGTCATATTACACATATTGTCAAAAAAATAATTCTAAAGTATATCTGAAAAGGTGTGAAATGTGGACACCAAAGGTTTGAACTGTTGGAATTATTGCTCTACATAAAAGGAAAGTTGACTGTTGGGAAGTTAAAGTCATATCTCTTGCTTGTCACTCTTCTTTCTGCATCAAATTTATAGGAAACTGATGAGGCTGAAACACTGGTCTCTTTTGTTTCTTATTCAGGTGGGTAAATCAGTGGAAGGGAATTGGCTTTTAGATGTCTTTCGAGATATCTGAAGCTTACGTTTAGACTACACACTATAATCATTTTCTATTTTGAGAATACCGGTGACTATTTCGTGTAAATAAACTGCAACACTCGCTGTACCTGAGTTCTCCATGCTAGGTGATGGTGACAATGAAGAAGTCCAATGAATACGACAACATCCTGTATGATCCATCAACTGCCAGTCTCAAGGCCTTCTCAGCAGACCAAGTTAAAACAGTTCGCGTAAGTAAACTCTTACGTACTGCCTTTCCATATTCCATTTTATTACAATCATCTGTTTAAATGACAGTGTAGGTCGTTATATCATATAGGATTTAGTTAATACATTTGCCTTGCTTTTGAGGATAATTAATGTTGCCGGATGCTTCTACTGCCTTAGTAAGACCTGAAATCCTTCAGGTCGCCTCTGGTGATGCAATGACCGTTGACTTTCCCATTGTCCCGACCACCCTGGGTCAACTTGACATCCAGGTGTCTGCACGCTCCACTGCAGCTGCTGATGCAGTAAAGAGAAAGATCACAGTTGAGGTGAGTGTCGTATGTCAGATGGGATTACTTGATGTGTTTCGTCCTCCTTCTCTTTCGCCTTCTCTCGCGTCGTTCTTATCTCAGTCTTCCTGACTCTCTAAATATCTACATGTTATTTTGTTCTAATCATTATTCGCGTGTGTTTAACGCCACAGTCAGCTCTATTCCAGTCAGTCATATAATTGCGTCTGTTATTCGTCTCGCCTCAGCAGTGGTGAATGGAATCATAAGCAACGATCCACGCCATCGTGGTGCAGTGGCATGCAACCAATTAAGTCACCCAACCTCACAGCTCATCAGTCGGCTCTTACGATCAAGACGGGACACTGGGATTCGAGTCTTCTCTGGAGTCCTCACGGGGGTCTATTCTTTATTGAAATTATCAACTGGAAACATTAGGCAATGTAAACATAAATGCCACACCATCATTTCTTTTATTCCAATCCAATTTTAGCCAGAGGGTATCAGAAAGGAGACTAACTTCCCTGTCACCATCGATCTTCTGTCTGGAAACACGTACAACAATACTGTGTCCATCCCACTTCCAAACTACATCGTAAAAGACTCACAGAAAGCAAGAGTCAGGGCTTTTGGTAAGTAAGAATGGGTTTTCCTCTTAAAAACCTGTTCCCAATAGTTTTCTTAATGTATTCATGTAATGGTGTGAAGTTTAAAGGTGTGTTTGTTTGGAATGTTTGAATCATTGGACAAGTGGTAGAGAATGATAGTTATCCCCTATTCATTGGAAAGGAAAAGTTCCTATTCTTCGAAACTGCAACAACAATGGAGAGACATGGAGAGACAAGAGGCATTGTCCGTTATCCCTGTCAAGTGATACAAACAACATTTATCACACTACTTTATACTAATTACTTTATTACCACTCTATATTACAGGGGACGTGGTGAGCCCCAGTCTCGACGGCCTGGACAGTCTTCTGAAGATGCCCACTGGCTGTGGAGAACAGAACATGATGGGCCTTGCCCCAGATGTCTACATCTCAAACTACCTTGCCAGTGCTAAGAAATTTGACGGGAAAATTGAACAGAAAGTCGTTCCATTCATGGAGGAAGGTAAATCATTTAATAATTGTAATTTCATAGTTGTGCAAAATTACAAGTATTCTTTGAAAGTAACTTAACTCAATGAATAAAAGTCTACTTCCAAATAATAACCTCTCAATATCATCATTGTCTATTCATTTTTAAATTTGTCATCCTCAGGTTTCCAGCGTGAGTTAAGCTACCAACACAGTGATGGTTCCTTCTCAATCTGGGGGAACAGCGACTACTATGGAAGCACCTGGCAAGTATAGTTTTGAAGAATTTAGGGTAACGTTTGATCTTAAAGGGCAAATTTGTTACATAATCTATAGTAAATAATAGTTGACTTGACATTTTGTTTATTTCTTTCAGGCTGACAGCATTTGTTGTGAAAACATTTGTCCAGGCTCGTCAGTATGTCTTCATTGATGACCGAATCATTGCCCGTGCTGCTAACTGGCTTATGGGAAGGCAAAACACCAATGGAGACTTCTATGAGAACGGATATGTGCACAGCTCTAGCATCCAGGTACGTTTTCAAATGTGATTACCCACACATTAAAGAAACATGTAATGCGATACTAGATGTGTCGTACAAGGTTCATTCGTTTTGATGGTATAACCGTAAACTTGCTAGTCAAACTTAAAAGGTTTACTGGAACTGTTGTTTATTCATTAAAATGTCACGAGACTTTTTTCGAGATTCCAACTTTTGTAAGCGAGCACATCTCATGCTTCAATTTCACTATGCATTCGATATTAGTTATGGCTTAACATGGATCAGCTACACATATTATTCAGTTGAGCAATATCCATTTGCTGTCAGTAGATACACGTTGGTCGAGATACCTTGGATGTGGTGCACCCAATTTGATTTAATGTTTAAAATCCAGAGTTGGAAAAAGAAAGTGTCCCCACCGATACATATTATGTGGCACTGTTTCCAAAAGGTGGTTTTGAATGAAAACAATTGCAGATCAGTCGAACTGAACATTTTAGAAAATTCCGTGAAAATGTGCCTGATTTTCTGATACAAAAGACTTTTCTTTTCTTCGGAAAAGGGTGGTACAAGCTTCCTCTGTAGAACAGTCTGTCCACATTAAAGTTAAGTGAGAATGAGATAACGATGCTTGATAAATGTTCCTCGTCGCCACAAATGAAATATAGGCATCCTGTTTTTGATAATATTGCATACACATTACATTAAACTGAAGCCTTTTGTTTCATGGTTTGGCAGCATGTAGCACTGATAAGGCGGTATATCTGGGTCATGGCTATCAATACTTGGGGAGTCTGGTATCTGTTACATCATGGCAAACTGGTGTATAGGGAGATATACCACTCTGCCACTATACCCACAAAAAGGGTGTTCCTAATTATTATAAGCAAACAAGTACATATCAAGATGTTGCATTTTTTACATGAATTGTTCAACAAGAATTCTATTTAACAATAGAAGCAAAATGATATATCTGGAATTGTTTTATTTTGAGTTTGATTGAATTTTACAATTCTTGTGTATTTTGTTTACTTATAACCCCATTCTACTAGGCGACGCTCTTCTGCGCCTTACGCGCTTTAAGGGAGCTCCATAGGTCTCATTTTTCTGCTATCTAGGGGCACTTACAGTCTGATTATGATCAGATAGCGCCCCTGTTGCGATCCAATAGCGATCTATGCGATCCGATAGCGACTTGAAGACACTTGATCGTAAAAACAAACAACCCAAAATGTGGCGATCCTTTTGCGATCCAAAGCGATCAGGATGCGATTCAATGGCCCTCTATTTGGCCCTCCGATGTCGATCATTGCGATCTAATGCGCTCTACTCCGTTTGAGTCTGATCCAATAAAAACTCGTAGCCTTCTGAGGCTCCCATCAGTTATACGCTTGTTAGCAGAGGGGTAGGTCCTTGTCTTTCGTGGCGATCGGCGGCGCTCTAAGGTGATACAATAGCGCTCTGATTACGACCTTGTCGATCAAGTAGGGCCCTCATTACGACCTTGGCGATCAAGTAGCGCTCCGATGGCCATCTCGGCGATCAAGTAGCGATAACGGCATTCTGGACAGAGCGCCACGGATCTTTGTGCAGGGAAGTCGACAGGTGGCTACTTTGACGATCATGGAGATCAGTTAGAGATCAGATAGCGATCCATTAACGCTTTTGGAGCTCTTAGCGCTCTATATGGCGCTCTATGGCAATTTGTAAGAGCGCCACAGAGCGTAACTTAGTGGAATGGGGGTATAATATTAATGAAACTTTTTAGCAAATTCTTTTTTAAAGGAATGGATAAATATATTTCAAAAAGTGAAAAACACAAAAATCACATCTTGTTTTGTCTTGTCGAATTTGGTAAAAGTTGTTCTAAGAAAAAGATGTTGATGGTTGCTAATGTCATGTTTGCTCACAAAATAGCAGGAACATGTTATGTATACAAGGCAATGCTAACAATGACCATGTTTGGGCACATATCAGGATTCATACGCAATCGGATTTGAAAATAGTTTAGTTTGGTCTGGTAAACGAACACATTTAAGGTATTAATGTGGTTTTAATCTGATGCTTACGTCTCCCTTCTTCCAGGGAGGATCTGGACATGGATACGCCCTGACAGCTTTTGTTCTGGACGCTCTTCTTGAAGTCCGCGGATTGGAAGGGGTAAGTTGTAGCCGTCCTGATTTTCATTTTCATGCTCAAAACGTCGGTACTGCCTCTGTGGTGACGCATAATCTGGTTTGAAGTATTGGCCTTCAAGCAATATAAGAATATGGAGACAAACTTACAAGTGTATTAAGATCGTGTTTATCTAATCACTTTAAAACATTAAAGAAACACAATGACCTAGTTTCCTTTTTTATAAGTAGATTATTCTGCAGGTGAACGCTTACAACCTGAACGACACTTTGCTCCGCGCCAGTGCCTTCCTTGAGTTCAACATCATTAGGTTTGATGATGCCTACACTGTTGCAATCGCTACCCATGCCCTAACCAAAGCAGGTAGCATCTTTGCCGAAGATGCCTTCAAGAAACTTGAACATGTTTCTAAAACAAAAGGTATTTGGGAACAGAAGTAGCATGATTATTAATGTATGTAAAAATGTTATTAAACAACCAGAACTTCCTATGTATCTATGTATAACAATACAAAATGAATAATATATATATCGTCTTCCTTGACAAAATACTGTCTCTGTTTGTTAAGTGTGAAACCATAAATTACTAGAATAAACAATTCATTTTTGTATGTTGAAAATCAATTCGGGTCCATTGCCAGATGACATGATGTTCTGGGAGAGATACAGCCACACTCGCTCCAGCTACTGGAGGCCATATCACCAATATGCTGACGCCATCGACATTGAGACTACAGGCTACGCACTGAAGACATATGCGCTCCGGAAGGACTTTGTCAAAGGCCTGTCTATCATGAAATGGCTCATTTCCACCAGGAATCCCAATGGTGGCTTCGTTTCCACTCAGGTAAAGCAAACACGATAAAAAAATTGAAGAGAAGAACATGGCAACATAAATTTGTATCAAATCTTACATGAACACAACATTAGATAACTTAGATTTACTTCTACTTTCCCTTAGGCTTGTTTATATACCAGTGAATAATGTTTTGTTGATCCAATCCTCAGGATACTGTTGTTGCTCTCGACGCCCTTTCTGCATTTGCTTCCGTCATCAACTCAGATTCCTTCAAAATCAGCGCTGACATCAGTTCTGGAAAATTCAGCAAACATTTTGACATCAATGCCAAGAACGCACTTGATCTTCAAGCTACTGATGTAAGTTGTCACAGTTTTATGACAACAACATAATGTCGTTTATTGTATCTGAAAACTCATGGTAACATCGTTATGTCATTCACGATTCAATGTGATGTGGTCAATGTGTTCAGACTGTACACGAATTCCTTCTTCTTTTCAGGCCAGTGAGTTCACAGGTACTTTCAACGTGAACGCCCAAGGTCATGGAGTGGGCTACCTTGAGGTTAGTTCTCTTCAGAAATATTGTTTTACGCCATTGAAGTGTGTTGTAGAGATGAACGTTTGTAATACTGAGGTGTAAGAACTGCTAACTAACTGTTTGATTGGCATTCTAGAAGTTGGTGAGTAAATATGAATAAATAACTTTATGAATAACAACTCATGGTTTATTGCATTAACGACGTTTTGATGTTGACTTTTACACTGTTCCCAAACTAGAATGAGTATAAGCAAGTGATGAGAGAAACATATGCATGATAAGTTGTGCAAAGCAATCTATTAACAAAAACAACAATAGCAACAACAACAACAACAGGTGACTGATAACAAATAGCACACAATTGAATGAAGCCAGATAACAGAATGGATTAAGGATTAAGATGTTAAGATGTTGTTACAAGCTCGACTGGATGAATCGTTTGATTGATCAGATCTTCATAGGGAGAGGGGATGTAATACCCTTGATCTGTTTATCAAATGTTGATGATGGCGTATTTCCATAGCTTCTGAGAGTTTTCTTTGTCGTTTCCTGATGTTGGGTTGAGAGGCTTTGGACTTTGTTACCTTGTTGTACTCATTCCTGATTGCGAACAGTATAAGAATCTTTATCGGAACATCGCTAATGCAATAGACCAGAAGTTGTTATCATAAAGTCATTAGTTTTCTTAACTAATGATTAGTTTCTGTATTTAGACATACTTCGCATAACTCATTAAATAAAGTTGTAACCAGTGAGTATAAACATGTCTAAAATTGTGAGAGGAATTTCTGGTTTATTTCAAAGATTGCAACGTTCTTCAACGTTGAGAAGCCAGTAGAAGAGCAGTACTTTGATATCAGTCAGGACATCGAGATCGAGACACTGAACATGTACACACTCAGGACCTGTGTCAGGTATTACCTTCAAGTTTATTTCAGACGGTTGCTCGGTCTATACTGGTTTGGCAAATGCTAGTATAGCACACTGATTGATTCCTAATGAAGTATTTTGTTAAGTTTATTCGTGTCAGCCCCTCGCTGCCATACCGCAGCAGGATTGTTGCAAATGTCCCCTTCCTGTCACGCTTTGCTGATTGATTTCCATAGGGACCCTCTTCTTCTGATAGGTTATTTACTATTTACTGTTCCAACCATAATATGTATCGTTGGATTCATATCGTTCTATTCGTAAGACAAATCGCCAAACTATATTTATTCGACACTATCATATTCTTATGTATTCAACAGTTACAGCAAAGCAAGAACTAACAACATGGCCGTTGTCGAAATTACAATCCCATCAGGCTTTGAACCGGACATGGAGTCACTGAATGAAATCCGCAACCTACAGCGATCTGAATTGCTGGGCAAGAACTTTGTATTCTACTTCAGCCATGTGAGTAACCATTACATCTAAACTATTGTGTTATGATCTGTACTATGGTAGGTGCCACATATTTTAGACTTGCTGAGATAAGATTTATTATTAACTTTACATGTACAATGTATTGCTGAAGTTACATAAGGTGTTGCACGTCAAGGTTTCCCGACTAACATTCAACCTTCAAGTTGATTAAGATTTTGTGTTAACGTTTTTAAAGCCCTTATTATAGGATTCCTTCAGTCGATTGTTTGTAAGAATCGAATAAAACAATGTATTAAAATTCATGATAAGTGTTATTTGTGTTTTAAGGAATTACGCTAGTTCAAGAATTATGTGATATTTGACAGCTTGACAGCAGTGAAACATGCGTCAGATTCACCGGCAGAAGGAACGGTCAGGTTGCTAAGCTGCAGGCGTCTCCCATCCATGTATTTGACTACTATGAGCCAAGTATGTAAATCATAGTTCTGCCTAATATAATTTTGATTCTACTCGTTGATGGATCAATTAATTGAATGAATGTTTCATATCACCGTCTCAACGATTTTGTCAAACGTCCCAACATTATTGCTTGGATTAAAATATGTCCACTGATATTGATGACTGATGATAATGGTGGTGGTGGTGCTCTCTCCTCCAGCACACCAGGCAGTGGCGTTCTACCAACCGAAGACCCTGCATGATGCAACTGTTTGTGACATTTGCGCCAACTGCTGTCAGAAGGTGGTACAGGTATGTAGCTGGCAGAAAACCATATAGCAGGCAGGAAATAACACGTTTAATTCCTTTAGTTTCAAAGTTGTAATATAATAAATAAATAAATAACACAGATATTTCTAACATATTGTTTGTTGATAATTTTTCCAAATCAAATATCAAGTATTGCTTTCAACTGTGGTTAATGTGCTATGTCCATTTTAGATATGTTTAGAATAATTGTAGGATAAATAACAACAATAACAATACTTTCTATATTTTTTCAGTCACACTAAGCAGCATCACATCATCTTGACTGAGAAGCCATGAAAGCCTTGAAAGACTACCCTGATCTTTAAGCAAAACATTGTGCAGTTGTTCACTAAAAACAATCGAATAAACTGTCAAACAATTATCAATTATTTCTTATCCATCTGAGTGGTGTGTAACGACTAACACGTCGAACATAAGATCCGGACAAGACTGAGGCACATCTTATGTCACCGGTTGGCAATAAAATGTGTGTACATATTGAGGTAACTTATGAATCTGTTCTGAAGAACCAGACTGTGAAGCTGTATCTGAGATCTTGTAAGATTTGTTTAAAGAACTGAAAGCTTCTCATAGCAGTGGTTAAACTCATATTGAGTTATAAACGTCCACGTCAGAGAATAATCAGATTCCATTGCACGTGTGGGGCAATTATGAATGTGTCACTGAATTTCAGTGATGACACCTGTGTTTGAAAAAAGGTCAAGCATATCCTGCTCTACTGCTTGTACCCACCACTCGCTGTTACACTCAAACGCATAGAACAACATTAAATATATAGTAAATTGTCCCCGAAAATTCTTGAAACAAATATTTATACTAAACACTCTTGACAAAACCGAAATTGCCTGCCAAAAAATGACATTGTTGCAAGGTGTTTTCTTTTCTTTCATCTGATATGATACGTGAGAAACAGGGGATTATTGAAAAAATATATGTCAGTGCTCTCCTCCAGCACACAGGGCAGTGGCGTTCTACCAACCAAAGGCCCTGCATGATGCAACTGTGTGTGGCATCTGTGCCAAATGCTGCCAGAAGGTATAAAAGGTATGAACCTGGTAGCCATATGTCATATGCCAGGGATGAAATAACACGTTTTACTCCTTGACATTAAAAGTTGTAATAACTGGAATATTGTAAGATCACTATGTGTATTTACAATCTCATTGTGCAGTTATTCACCAATTGCAAGAAGCATTCAAATACACTTTCAATCTATAAGCGTTTCTTGTCCATTTGACCGTTGTTTCACAATGAAGAATTCAAACCCATGATCCTCAGATCCAGACAATACTGAAATGCAACAACGGTGGCCCATTAACAAAGAGCCTGTCAGAATGAAGCAGTGCCTAATGGGAGACCATGTTTCATTTGGGTCTTTGAAAGGCATTTAGAAGTGATACACATAAGGAAGAGAATACATGGATGTCAACTTCTTTATTATGAGGAACACAAAGTTTCGGAGTATATGCTTACTCATTCATCATATAACTGAATGCCATGAGGCAGAGAGTATATATATGTACAGGTAAAGACAACAACATTAATAAGATAACAAAAGGTGGAAAATAGCAAAGGATAGAAACTAACAAGGGAAGCCAACAGATGATTGGCGCCGATAGGTGATTAGCAATGGACAATGGAAGCCAACACTTTACAGTAATTACCGCTGACAGTATGGAAACCAGTACTTAGTATCATAGATAAGTAATAGGTAATGGGCACTGGGCAAACGGGAGGCCGGGAGTAATTAGCACTGACAGGTGAAATAATGGACATAGCAAAGGCAAAATTGAAGCCAGCAAGGTGAAAAGATGTTTCATTTGTTTGTATCACTGTAGCCTTGCATTCTAGTGTACACTAATTGTATACATACCACACTCACATAGATTATACAGACCGAGCTACTGGGCATGTGACACAATATTCTCACTAAGTCTTGGATAGAGACGTATCGTCTTTCTTTGAGATAAAACGAACGATAAACGTAGCCAAGAAGCCCCAAAAGATGAGCAGAACCAACTTTCCTAAGATTTGGGTGCTTACATATCAGAACTCGTAAAAAATGAAACCAAATCAAGTAAAAAAACGCCAATGCCAGCCAATAACAAGTCTCGTTTATCTCCCGAAATAGATTCCATAAGGCGCAAAAGGGAAAATACCGTTGATAATTACATGAATGGAACTATAAAAATTAGAAGTAATAATACCAGGTGATGATGTTCGCAAAAAGGGTACACATGTCCTGTCCCATCATTTAGTAACCGCTGCTCTCACACTTTGCATAAAAAGTAGGTGTTTGCTGAAGCCAGACAAACAAGACAAACCAGACAACCAAGTGATGGACCCACAATAGCGCACTTCCCGTCTTTGTAAGGAAACAATAAAATGAATTACGTCCATTGTGTACAAGTTTAGAGTAAAGATAAACATCAAATAAATATGTCGGCTTAAAATTTGAGTCATTAAGGTGATGTCTGTCAATCTTTGATGAACGTGAATATTTCGGAGGTCCAACTAACTATTTCAATGCCACTTTTTCACACAGAAAATATCAAAATCCTTCGAGGTTTGTAAACAATGACATCACTGACATTATGCCACATGATATGAAAATGTGAGGGAAAAGACATCAACTTTCTCATTGTTGAAACATATATGTCAGCGTTGCGATCCTTACGATCCCACATTTTCAGACTTGACTAGTCTTTAAAAAGGTAAAGTTGGTGCACAGTATATTTGTAGATGGGATCTCCTAGATAGTATACCGGAACAACGCTCCAACCTCTCCATTCGCCGTCAACACCTCGATGGTCGCTTTAACATCAGTACGCGGTAACATCAGTATGGCCGAAGTAAAATCCTATTATTTCGAAGAATTGTCTTCAGTAATAAGACCAGCTTTTCTGGATCCTTGATTCTTTGTTAATGGAATGGCCCGAAATTCTCCTGATATGATTGAGATAGAGATCACATGTGGGATGACCTCGGACGAGGTATGGGCTGACGTCAACCATCAACCAATGACGTTCCGTGCTTGACCTTAGTCTTGTGGGAGGAATAGAGGAACAATCCAGCTGCCCACAAAGCCCGTCTTTGTGACCCGGTGCCTCACCATTTACACTTCGTAAAAATGATGGGTTACATCAGCTTCTGACCTCTTGGTCTTTGGGTGGTACTCTAATATCTCATCTTCCGACTGTACCTGTCATATCATGTGTACTCATTTTGTCACACAGCCATCAGCTTTTGTCATGCGAGTAATTCCTTCCTGCTAAAATCGTTTCCTTATCATTCATTTAGAGTTAAGGTTGATTATGCGTTTTCATTGTGTAACAATATAACATATTAAAAAGTAATTTAGCACAATAACTTTATATTATATCTCTAAAAGACATGCAAACTTTATTTAGATTTAATTCGGTGTTGTAATCATTATCTTCCTATAGAAACAGGAAGATGTAAAGTACACCATATAGTTATCATCTCTGTTATCTGTGTGAAAAAATACGCGGGATTAGTTAAAGAAACATCCCCGAACCCATTTAATCCCGCCATAAATATGATTACTCCTTTACTCCACATTGAGAGAATTCTCTTTAATTTTATTTATGATTTTTCAAGCACCTTTTGTAGAGCGTTAGCTCGTCACGCCGAAGACCCGTGTTCGATTCCCGAGTTAACGTTTCCAAACTAAATAGTACTAGATAAAGTGAAAGATGGTTTATTTCTGTAGTCAGTATTACACAACATTTTATTGGTGTAAACTATTTATATCGGACGTAATTTGAACAAAACCTACTATCGATTGAACACATGTTTGCACCAGACACTTCGAACTATTTTTACAACTGGGTCGGTGGGGTAGCCTTGTGGTTAACGCGTTCGCTTGTCATACCGAAGACCGGGGTTCGAGTCCCCACATAAGTGCAATGTGTTAAGCCCATTTCCTGGGGAACCCGCCGTGATATTGCTGAAATATTGCTAAAAGCGGCGTTTAACCATACTCAGTCAATCACTCATTTTCAACTATTGTTGATATCAACAGTATAACTCTAAATTTGTTTATGTCATCATTAAGAGAGGTCTGATAAATCAATGGAGACAATGGTAATATGTACTAGTTGATTTGTTCTTGCAATTGCAGCAGAACACTTTATTACACTTCAACATATCTTTTGATGATTGAATTGCAAACAGTTTCAAAAATGATCTTACAATTCAAATCTATAGAAATAATTATACTTTGTACAATTTCAGAACAACAAGCAAATCGTACAAACTGTTGACAGTACAGTACAATGTCGACAAGAATCTCTTGTTGATAAAATCGAGACATGGTTTCTTTGATTTCTCAATCAAATTTCCTAAATGACCTAGCCAATACCGATATCGGGTGAAAATGCTATCGGTAGTAGCAGCCATGCTTCACCTTGTCTGTTCGACAAAGGTTGCACCACAATTAGTCAGTAGCAATCAGTCAGTTAAACGAATCGCCTGTCCAACATACTTGAGTCGGCCTTTTGATCTTCGCAGACACGCACAGTCACCGTTAAAAGAGAACTAAAAAACAAAGCCTACTTACAGGAGCGCCAACAATATTAGTCCTTTGAATGCATGTTGTCCCACACCCGCTTATAAACAGCAAATCATATCAACTTTTCAATGACAATATTATTTCAAGGAGCAATGTTTCTCTCAACAATATCTAAATAAAACATATTTGGACTGATGTTCACTTAAATTTAGGACAATATGATCATAAAAATATCATGCATGTTTTTTGCAATCGCGCATCAAAAACGGAGGCATCAGCAAATATACGCGAAATATCAATTACACTCCATGCCACTAACACCTATATCTATATCAGCTGAACACAGTTTCACCTGTTTTCAAAAGTTTGTTCCCTCCGATATGCGTACATGTCACGGCGGACGGGCGGACGGGCGGACGGGCTGCACATGAGTTGCCAAAACGGCTAAGAAGAGGAAACGTCTAGGTAGTAGTGTAAATCTCAAACCATATTCCACTTACCATATACCATATACTGATAGTATATAATAATCTCTTGTCGATTCTGTGGGCTCTCAGTGTTTAAGACCTCCCCACCAGCAATGTTGCTGGAGTCCTGAAGGAGATACAACACGCTTTGGCTTTTCTTGTGACCACGGCTGGCCTATGTTCGTGCTATGGTAAGGAATATTTGATCATGTCTTTCCGAATGAACGTGGTATCCCTTGGAAGTGGAACTTGTTTAAATGGTCAATTTACGAGACATGTATTCAAGGTCAAGGTAAAAAAAAAGAATGTACATCTTCAGATCGGATGATAAAAAGAGGCATGCTATTATGTACTGGCGAG